GTAACAGCTTGACCTCTACTCACTATTTTGATCATAACTTGAGTTATACTCATTCTTTTTGAGTGATTTAAATGCCATTGGAAAGATAACACCCAAGGCTATAACCTGTGTGAATAATGTTAAGTCAGACGAAGAAATTCCCAAAAAGGTTTTAAGTGAGACAAATATAATATATGTTGTTATCTCTAACAAGTGAGTTAGTGTTTCAGAAAGACGTAAGAACAAATAAAATGAAGAAAAGGCATAAGCATCAGACGATACAAGATAGAAGGCCAACATAAGCACTTAACAAGACCATGCTGCTTAACATACGATCAATGCGTCTGAAGGGTTTATCGTCCACTAGGGAAAATGTCTCGTAAAAATATTAATTGAAGTTCTTACATTTTCCTTTTCAAGATAGTTTCGTTTAAGGATAAGTAGCAGATGAAACTTTTAGTGTAATAAGTTTGTCAAGCAAAGTTAGCGTCTTCGTCTAAAAGTTGTTTTAAAGATATATGAACACTGGATGAAGTCTTTCACAAATGTTTAATTAGTAAGGAAGATTTGCATCTAAGTAAATAAAAGGTTGCAATCATTTTATACTAGTTCGCTCAACAAAGCTACATCTAGTCTCCTGCAACTTGTAGGGTTCCACTAGATATGAAATGAAGAACATTGAGTATTATCATCCACTCCTGTACCTGAGTATTCTCGACTACTCCTGGCCTTGAGTATTCTCGACCACTCCTAGCCTGTCAGCTTCACTCACCAATGCTAATATTCTTAAACCACTTCTGGTTCTCCAAGTATTCTCGACCACTCCTGGCCTTGAGTATTCTCGACCACTCCTGGCCTTGAGTATTCTCGACCACTTCTGGCCTATCAGCTTCACTCACCAACGCTAGTATTCTTAAACCAATTCTGGTTCTCCAAGTATTCTCGACCACTTCTGGCCTATTGGCTTCACTCACCAATGTTAGTGTTCTTAAACTACTTTTGGTTCTCCAAGTATTCTTGACCACTCCTAGCCCGTCAGCTTCACTTACCAACGCTAGTATATTCTTCTCAGCCACTTTTGGCTACTAGTGAGTATTCTTTGACAAGCCCCTCTAGGCTTTACAAGTATTCTTTTCCTAGCCTCTTCAGGCTTTACAATGTTGGCTAGACAGTTTTGGTTGAGTGCATACATAACTCTCACAGAGAGGATTGGAAATTTCCTACACTCACTAAGGTTTGCTACCTTAGTTTTACAGAGACTAGTGTTTGAGTGTTTGGGTTACTCTCATGGAGAGGATACACAAGTTTACAACACTCACTAAGGTTTAGTCCATCACTGACATTTTGAACACCTTAGTCTATAGAGATTAAAATACAATATTACATTGTACATATGACTATGTATGCTCATCTCTAGTCTCTGTCTCGTGGGCTTGATATCACTCTTTTTCTTCCAATCAAAAATCCAACCTTTTAAGCTTTGAGGTAGTGATATATATATATTCTTGTAGAATCTTCCCGTTGCTTGATTTTGAATATGTCTGTTTATGCGGAGCTTCCCGTTGCATATGTCCATTAAAGCTAATATAGTCGTTCATGACTAGTTTGATTCTTTCATTTAATGCATTTGGCCTTGCATTAAATGTTGCTTCCTGTTCATAGACAATGCGTGAAGTTTCCTTGCTCAGTAGTTGTGTCTGAATATAGCAGAGTCCTAGGAACCTTTTTGTCATTTTCTAATCCTATAGCTATGGAACTTTTGTCCTTGCCTGAAAAAGTGATGTACTTTTTCTGACATATACATGATTTAGCATTTGAGCATGCTCTTCTTCTTTCTTCTTATAATTTGAATTCCTTCGCGTGTTCTTCTGTGAGTGTAGATGATATTCAAATTTTCTTTTGAATCTTGATTTCTTAAGTGATTGTGTGTCATTCTTTGTTTGCGTCTGGTAGTCGACATTTAGTTCAATACTTTGACCTTTGTCTGATCAGTATTTTGACTTTTCTTTCATCTTGGTCAACCTTGTATATGGTCAGGCTTTTCATTTCTTCTTGGTCGTTGATCATCTTCAGGCCCATAAATCGTAACAGCTTGACCTCTACTCACTATTTTGATCATAACTTGAGTTATACTCATTCTTTTTGAGTGATTTAAATGCCATTGGAAAGATAACACCCAAGGCTATAACCTAAATATATATATATATATATATATATATATATTATAATTGAGCTTGAGCAAATAGAGAACTTGAAGAAACTGAAATCATTATAGATATTAATTATATTAGGTAGCGGTATTAAGAAAAACTATTAAACTAAACATATAATAGTTGTAAAAGATATAAAGTATTAAAACATAGAATGAGGAAAAAATCACAAATGAGAATTATTATAATCACATATATATATATATATATATATATATTAAGTATAAATTATATATATATATATATATATATTATAGATTATATAATATTTATTTGATAATATAAATATTGTAATTTTTAAATTAATATTATTAATATCCATCATTACTAATTAATTAAACATAAATGTAGCAATTCTTAGTAATTAATGACATTAAAAAAATATTAAATATTAATTTTTTTTTAGTTTTATTTGAATTTTAAATCAAGTATCGTTACCTGTTAAAGAAATTACTTCATTTTGTTTTTATATATAATAATATTTATATATAGAAAAGCTTTGGAGAAAAAAGTGTATTGCAGAAGTTGTTCCGTTTATATTATTTTTCATAAAAACATGCATTCCGTAGTGACAAAGTAATTGTCATATTCATATTCTAGATGGTGGCATTAGTTTTAAGTAAGGAATTACTTTTAGAAATTGGAAGAATCAAAGAAAGGAATTACTTAAATTTAAGTAAGGAATTAGTTTTGGAAATTGGAAGAATGAAAGAAAGGAATTACTTAAACTTGATGTGCAATGACAGAATAAAAAATTGAAGCATTCATTCTAAAGTTATAAATATTTCGACTTCACGGTTATGAAATTATATTTATTGGAGAGTCTGAAGCAGGTACAGTACCATAATCAATTTCATTTTGAATCATAAAAGCATATATATAGTTAGTTATTTAGTTTCTATTAAACATACCATTTTCTCTCTCTAATTTGAGTCCTTGTAAGGAAAACAGTTGAGTTGAGGTTTGACATATAAAAGCACATAAAGAGGAGTTTCTTCCATAAAACCACATACCAACCACAAACTGTATTCTTTCATATATATTTGCGGCTATGCGTAGAACACTCGAAAGACTTTTGGACACGGATGTTATCAATGACTGGCATCAAAATACTGGCTTCAGCTTGCAGAAGGCGTTTAAAATATTGGTGACAAATATTTATTACTTTTTCTTCATACTATCACTACTCATTTTCTTTTTCCCACTATTGCAATACAACTTATTTTACTTTACATGTTTAGTAAACAAATCAAATCACAATCTTTTATTATACACCTGTGTGAATAATGTTAAGTCAGACGAAGAAATTCCCAAAAAGGTTTTAAGTGAGACAAATATAATATATGTTGTTATCTCTAACAAGTGAGTTAGTGTTTCAGAAAGACATAAGAACAGGTAAAATGACGAAGAGGCATAAGCATCAGACGCTACAAAATGAAAGGCCAACATAAGCACTCAACAAGCCAAAAAAGGAACAAGACCATGTCAAGCACAATCTAAGGCAGCACATAAAGACTCAGACAGAAGATGGTCAAATGACCAAGAAGAAACTCCAGAAGAAATGGAAAGTCTGACCATATACAAGGTTGACCAAGACGAAAGGAAAAGTGAAAACGCTAATGATTAGACAAAGGTCGAAGTATTAAATATCGACTACTAGACGCAGACAAAGAATGTCACGCAATCATCTGAGAAATCAAGCCTCAAAGGAGAATTTGAATATCGTCTACACTCATAGAAGAACACATGAAGTCATTCGAATTATTAGAAGAGAAGAAGAAATAAGAAGATCATGCTCAAACACTAAATCATGCATATGTCAGAAAAAGTACATCACTTTTTCAGGCAAGGACAAAAGTTCCACAGCTATAGGATAAAAAAAGGACAAACAGTTTCCTAGGACTCTGCTTTATTCAGACACAGCTACTAACAGAGTAAGGAAACTTCACGCATTGTCTATAAACGAGAAGCAACATTTAATGCACGAATCTGAGAATTAAATGAAAGGATCAAACTAGTCGTGAACGACTATATCAACTTCAACGGAAATATGCAACGGGAAGCTCCGCGTTAATGGACATATTCAAAATCAAGTAACGGGAAGATCTCCACTAGACCATATATATATATCACTATCTCAAACCTTAAGAGGTTGGCTTTTTTATCGGAAGAAAAAGAGTGATATCAAGCCCACGAGACAGAGACCAGAGATGAGCATACATAGTCATATGTACAATGTTATATTGTATTTTTATCTCTATAGACTAAGGTGTTCGAAATGTCAGTGATGGACTAAACCTTAGTGAGTTTTGTAAACTTATGTATCCTATCCATGAGAGTAGCCCACACACTTAAAATCTCTGTAAAACTAAGGTAGCAAACCTTAGTGAGTGTAGGAAATTTCCCAATCCTCTCTGTGAGAGTTATGTATACACTCAAAGCAAAACTCTCTAGCCAACATCGCAAAGCCTAAAGAGGCTAGGAAAAGAATACTTGTAAAGCCCGGAGGGGCTTGCCAAAGAATACTCACTTCTAGCCAGAAGTGGCTGATAAGAAAATACTAGCATTGGTGAGTGAAGCTGACAGGCCAGGAGTGGTCGAGAATACTTGGAGAACTAGAAGTGGTTTACGAATACTAGCGCTGGTGAGTGAAGTTGGCAGGCTAGGAGTGGTTTGTCATCATTAAAAAGGTGAATAATGTTAAGTCAGACGAAGAAATTCCCAAAAAGGTTTTAAGTGAGACAAATATAATATATGTTGTTATCTCTAACAAGTGAGTTAGTGTTTCAGAAAGACGAAGAGGTCAAATAAACTTGAAGTTATCAACATTCAACAATGTAAAACAATAAAATATTTGATTAACTTTCCTATTGATCCACTTGGTATATATTCTAGACAGATGAGGGAATTAATATTAATAGAACTATATAAACTAGAATACGTATGGGCTGGGAATCCAATAGGAAATTTTGGCCTCGAAAATCTCCAATTGATACACATCAAAAGTTGCCCCTGTTTAACAGATCTATTCTATTATGATGTAACAAAGAAGCTCCACAAACTAAATGAATTAAAGATAGAGGCATGTGGGAAGCTAAAAGAGTTAGTTTATTCTTTAGGTGAAACTCAGAAACCACCAGCAAAGTTCCCATCACTAACTAAGGTAGAGTTGAAGTCTCTCTCAAGATTGCAATTTTTCTACATTTATGGAGTAGAATTGCCAAGTCTAAAATCCTTGACAATAGAAAAATGTCCTCAATTGAAATCATTCACAAATGGGTTTGCAACTGAAGATGCATCGTCCACAATTATTGATGGGAAGTCTTTATTTGAGCTAAATGAACTCACATTATGTAGTTGTGACAAGTTGGTTGTTGTTATGTCATCTAAGACTTTACAAGAGTTAGTAAAATTGAAGAAACTCATTGTGAGTCATTGTATGGAATTGAAAATGTTATTCAACATTGATGGAAAAATATCTCATTCAACTGAGCTCTTACAACAGTTAGATGAATTGATCTTGAATGATCTACCTAATTTAACCCAAATCATCAATAAAGAAATTGTCAAGTTCAATCAAGACCTGAAAATCCTACAAGTGAAGAATTGTGAGTCTCTTGAATGGTTGCCCATATCTCAAGTGCTAAAAAATATGGAAATTACAGATTGTATGGCCTTGCATAAAATTATGATCATCCATGAAGAAGAAGGAAGGAGAGGGAAAACCACCTTTGCTCAATTGAAGGATGTGTCCCTCGTAAATCTATTAAATCTCTCCATTGCCTTTCCTATTGCAGCTGAATTTCCATCCTTAGAAACACTGAAAATAGAAAATTGTCCTAGTTTGAAGACTTTTGTTGAAGAGTATAACAAGGAGAAAGATCACCCAGAATTAGATAACTCAAACTATTTCTTTCCAAATTCAGTAAGTTTCTTCACTTTAACATTTTAGAAATAATATTCATTATCGGGAGGGTGTATGTATACATAGTTTTTTTTTATTCATCTTTGTTCCAAATCATTGAAAATTATTTTTTGTTCTTTGTAGTTGTCATTGGACAAATTGAAGGTACTTTATGTAATGAATCAACCGGTTGAGGAGCTTTGGCACTACAGTTGTCCTTCTGAATCATTTTGTGAGTTGGAAAATCTTACTTTGAGAAACAACAAAAAGTTATTGAGTGTCTTCTCCCCCGCCATGATAGTAAGATTCAACAAGCTAAAAAAATTGACTTTGGAAAAATGTGAATTATTGGCCGAGGTATTTATCCTTGAAGGTGACAAACCAAATCATGATAACCAAGAAATGCTTCCTCAACTAAGGGTGTTAGCAATGAGTAACCTAAGTAAATTGACATGTTTCTGGAACAAGGAACCTCAAGTTCCATTTTTCCTTAATTTGGTTTCACTTTTCATTATTCATTGTCATTGCCTCAAAAGCTTATTCTCACTTTCTCAAGCCAAAAATCTTGATAAACTCAAAATATTCAGATTGTGTAATTGTGAGAAAGTAGAAGAGGTAATATCTAGTGATAAAGGTGAAAAGGTGGCTACCATTTTCCCTAAAATGAAATGTCTTGTGCTCAAGGATCTTCCAAATCTTGTCAACTTTAGTCAGGAAGGAGGATGTTTTAATTGGCCTAACTTACAAACAGTGAGGGTGAACAATATTCCAAGTATGAAAACATTTTTGAGAGATGATCTTAATACACCATTGTTGAAATCAGTGTATATAACATTTGTTAAGAAACTTTGGCTTGGAAATTTGAAGAAGACCATATCGTATATGCACAACAATCCAGGTGTGTAAATTTTAATGTTATATGCCAAAAATTTAAACATAATAGTGTTACTTTTACAACTTGTTTTTTTTATATACATGACACATCATTTTTTTCCTAAAAGATATCTCTTGTACAAGATATATTCTTAATTTAATTTGTTAGATAACAACAATTACCTTTTGATTATATTAAAATATTTCAAAAATTTTAAAAAAATTTGCTAATTTTTTAGGATTTTGTATTTTTTTTATTGTACAAGGTCCTTTCAAACCTTGTTTTAAAGCTATTAATTTTGATAAAAATGGTTCAGGATCCAATAAGTTTATGTTCCTCATGATGTGACCATTAAAATCTTATTTTGATGAGTATTGCTACTCAAGGAGACCCCTTGACATCAAAGACAAAATTTTTCTAGTGGGTCTTTATTGGCATTCAGTTCAGCTAGTAAAATTATGAGTCAAATTATTGGTTTATTAACTTGATAAATTTGGTTTATCTTTTAATTTTTTTCAATATCAGGAATGAAATTGCAAGGAAGAATATGAAGATTACATATTAATTAAACAGAAGAGATTTGAGGAAAGGCTTAAAAGTCGTATTAATCAAGTATAAATATATACATTGCATTAGATTTTAGATGTAATATTATTCGTACTTTGTGTATAAAAAATTATAATTCATACTTGTCTATAAAAACATTGTAATTTATACATATATAAATATTTTTAGGATAAAATAAGCTTTTACATGTTTAGATACACACATAATTCATTTTTGGTTTAAAAGTGAATGATCATAAAAGTCAATTGGTAGGGGTGAATGTTGTTAATGAATGGTTAATGGATGTGATAATTATTTTTAATTGTAAGGTTGGAGTCCTACCTCTCAAATAATTGGGGTTACCAATTGGGGCTAATGTAAGAAAGAAAGACGTGGAAATCAATAGTGGAATTGGTGAGAAATAGATTATTTTGGGAAGGCAAACACATTTCAACATGTGGAAGGGTATTTTTAATCAAATTAGTCTTGTCATCTCTTTTTATCTACTTCCTTTCTTTTTTCCAAGCTCCAAAAGATATTATTTCTAAACTTGAATCTCTGTTTAAAATTCTTTTGTGGGGTGGGAATGTAGAAAAACATAAAGTTCATTGGGTGGCATGGGAAAAGGTGCATGTTTATAGAGAAGGACGAAAGAGGTTTGGGAATAAGAAATCTTAAAGCTTTTAATTTGGCATTGTTAGAAAAATGGCATTGGAGGATAAAAATTAAGAGAAAAGAGTTGTGTTATAGGGTGCTTAGAGGAAAATAAGCTAATGGAAAATAAAGATGGGTGAGTAGTAGTAGGAGTCACTCAAATTGGTGGAAAGATATCAATAGAATGGAAGACAATTCAAATTTTCAAGAGAAGTGATTTTCAAGGTTGATGTATAAGAGGGTGGATTTGGGTAATAAAAATTTGTTTAACATGATTAATGGATGAAGGGTGGAGTTCTAAAAGATAGATTTCAAAGAGTATATAATGTAATTTGAGATAAGAGGATGAAGGTGGGAGATGCATGTAAGTGGTTTGAGGGGAGGTGGGAGGATGCTTGGGAGTAGAGGAGGTCATTATTTGAATGGGCAAAGGAGTCATTGTTAGAGTTAGAAGAGGTGTTGAGAAATGTAAGGAGGGTGAGGATGACTATTGAGTTTGGAAGACATGATAAATAGGGATAATTTTGTGTCAAATTGACATATTAGACAATTATGACTAATAAGAGGGGAAATACAAACACTAGTGAGAAAAGGACTTTTAAAATTGGTAATATTTTACTTGTAAAATTATTTTTTTGTAGGACTTTAAAAAAGCCAATTTGGTAAGTCTTGATTTTTAAAATTGGTTGTCGATCGATTTTAAAAGTGGACAAGTTTAAGGCTTAGGGTTTTCAAAATCAACTATCAAATAACCAATTTTAAAAGTGCATTTTTTAAATTGATTATTTGATAACTAATTTTATAAGTCTTGACTTTTAATATTAGTTATGAAACAATTAATTTTAAAAATGGCATTTTTTAAATAACATATCTATTTTAGGAGCATACCAAAACAAAACCTACAAATCCAACAATATCAAATAGTTTTGTGACACTCATTCTACCTCAACATACATAATAAAATAATAAGTAGAATGAATTACCAAAATCGGGTAAAATGTTTCACATATAAAAAAAAAGTACTTCTAACATCCAAATGGATTAAAACAAGGTTTAGAAAATCGATAAGTTCATAATCGTTTCAAAAGAAATAAATACAAACTCCAATTACATTAAAATTAATGAACTAAAAGTCCCTTGCACAACCTCCTCATACAAATCAATGTTTTAATTCACAACTAGTTTACATTCCATCTAGTACACACCATTTATATTTATTCATACAATAATCATTACTGGATATCATACAATTTACAACCATCATCAAAATCCATCAATATAATACCATATTTCATAATCTCACATCAAACTCATTCAATCATATCATAAGTATTATAAAGAATCACTAAGAAATCATAAAGTATCACAAACATGCCAAAAAGGGGGTCCCAAAACGTCAAAAACGCAAACCAAAATAGAATACCCGCGTTGGGCAACGTAAATCTTGACAGCTTGATCTCTATTGATTATTTTGACCATAAATTGAGTTATACACATCCTTTTTGAGTGATTTCAAAGTCATTATAAATATAGCAACCAAAGCTACAACGTTTGTGAATAATAGAAAGCCTAAAAATGTCGTTAAGGTCACATCGCATGGCTGACAACACAAAACTTAATATTTCATGCAACTTGAATGGAAATTAAACTTATAACTCATATAACTCAATCAATTCTTAACATTTTTATAAGATTCTAAAATCTAAATTATAGCCCCAAGTGCCTCCTTTCTAACCTAACAAACGGAAATTGATTTGGTTAATAACACAGAAGGATATTACAAAAATACTAAGGTACATCCATAAGTAAAATTTCTCAATTACTCATTAATTCATATAATTAAGGGTACTCATTAATCTACAAGAATCCTAACTTAAAGAGAACATCCCAATGAATTCAATTGTCATCTAGATTATCAATTTCACTAAACAATATAATAACCATATTTATAAATAAATATAAAATCTGATTAAATCATAAATTTAACAAAACAACCTACTAATTAACAAAACTTCAATCCCTCATGATCCCTAACTCACATGAACATTTCAACCAACTCAATCTCTCTCTTAGAACATCACTTTTAATATATAATATCAAAAATACACTCACATGTGCACAAAGAAATTATCAGAATGAGTAGGCATCCAAACAGAAACGAATATAAATTACCAAAATCCTAGGGAACTTTCCTTTTACCCATTCCCTTATGTGACTTCACATGCAAAAATTCCATTTTTCCCATACCTGGTTGCGTTAATATATATATATATATATATATATATATATATATATATATATATCATCAATTAATGAGTCCTCAATGGACCAAGATATCTACATTTCTTATGTTACTTATCAATGGAACAAATTACATACAAATTAAATGTTAAAGGTGAATAAGAACAACCATATATATAATCAAACGTGTTTTTAAATACATGCAATGTGAATATAATATTATACATGTCAAACTATGAAACATGTGTTTAAACTTGAAAACATGAGTCCTAGCTAGTCAATGTAATGCTCAAGGAAAATTGTAGTCCATTGCTCCCTATTAGTCTTTATCTCTTCTAACGACAAAGATAATCGATTTATAAATATTTGTTAGGGAAAATTAGAAAATAATTAATAATAATTCATAAAACATATAATATAATGAGAACTTAAAATAAGAACTTTTAAATTGTAAAACATACTTCAACTCATCCAAATACTATTTGTGAATCAGTAATAGTATGCATTGCCTTCATTACATGGTATATGCACTCATAGTTTCCTTTTGTTTATGAGACTACAAAAGAAAATAAAAAAATTGTCAATAATAATGGTAATTCCAAACAAAATACCTTTAAAAAAATATCATTGCTAGGATTAAATAGTTTACTTTAAAAGAGACTCAATGCATTTTTTTCTTCAATAATTTGCTCTTTAATCAAAATCAAAATAAGAAAATATTGTTATTTGCACAACTATATTTAATGAATATATGATAACCACTTTAATAATCAACACAAAAGATAAAAAATAGAAAGTGTTGACACATGAGCCCAGTAGCAAAATTAAGCATTTAGTAATTTAGAATAATGACTGTTGAACGTTGACTATAACAATTCTCCAATATATTTCAACATAAATACTTGGTACTATATCTAATAATTTTTTATTTAACCTAAAATTTGAATATTCCCTTGAAATAAAAAGAAATATTAGAAAGAAACAAAAGCACCAAAGAGATAAGACATGTTATTTTTTTTTATATTAAATACAGGTGTCAAAAATAAAGAGATTAAGCCAAATATAGGATGGGTCATAATGCAAGATAAGGAGTGCTATAATAACGAGATTAAATATAACTTAATTGAAGTTGAAACTCATCATTAAGTGAAGCAACATGCTTACTTTCAGAAATATTTCTTGGTGAAGATGCAGTTAATCTATTTGCAATTGGGTCTTCTATGAAACATGCAAAAAAACCAAAAAGCAAGAGAAATTTAGGGACTCATATTTTAGCATATGTATTTTTTTTAAAAAAAAGTTCATGTAAGCTTGAAAGGTTAGCGGAAATCTTCCAATAAAAAAAGTATTTCTTCAAAGGAGTATTAATGATTGGGTATTTAAATTATGTACAAGACAAAATAGAAATTACAAAAAATAGAATACTCCTTCCATTCAATTAGGGATGAAAATAGATCAAGTCTTAAATTTTAACAATATAGTATCTTCGTTTGCTCTTTACTAGTGTTTTATATTTATTTTAAACTTTAAATTTTAATAATAATAGAGTAAACTATTTTTTATAATAAAAATAATAAAAAAATTTGTGTATGTATTAAAAAATATAATTTTTGGCTTAGTTAAAATCAAATTTATTGGCCTATTTAACATTATTAATGTAAAAAAGGTTTATACATATGCTAATATAGGTTAGACTAGACTCTTATAAAGGTCAAACCTATAAAAAAAACCTATGATAGATAATATGTCAAATTTATACTTTAATTTTATAGAATATGTCCTACCTGTATATTTACATAGTGTTACATAAACGGTGGTATGAAGAACAATGAATGAAGAAATTAAAGTTAGTGACATGAAGGACAGTGGTAGAACTCCAGAGTCGGCATTAACAACAAAGAAGGTGGCACCTCAATGTCAATAACCACAATAGTCAGAGCAGAGGGGGCAAGGCGAGAGTTGGTGTGAGAACAAGAATGAGAGAGAGGGAGAGCATAAAGAGGAGAGACTGAAGGAGACAGACCATTTTTTACAACCTTTCAAAATTGGCTATTTAACAATCGATTTAGAATAGGACTTTCAAAATCGATTATATAGATAACCGATTTTGAAGTCCTGTTCTAAATTGGTTGTAAATAACCAATTTAGAAAGAAGCTCTTAGTTACACTTTTATAATTGGGTATT